GCTAAACTCTATCGGGCGTCCCTCCGCGTCGAAACGGAGGCGACGAGACTCCATGACTGATGCCATGCTAGAGGCGGCTGGAGCTCGGCAGAGGCTGAGCTAAGAACGAGGAGGAAACCTACGGAGCGCCAGGAGGGAGAACGGCGGAGTGAGAGGCTAGGAGCACTGAGTGACCTAGGCTAGGCGTGAAACGGAGGATCTCCAGCTACAACGGCTAGGGGCGCGATACTAGCGGCTAAACGGCTCGAACCTAGGCGGGCGGCGAGAGAGAGCGGCTGCCAGCCGCTAGGTGAAAGACCAGTGGCAGTAGAGCTGGGGAGGGCCCCGCGCACAAGGCGGTGGCGGGGCTAGGGCGCGTGCCAAGGGTGGGTAACAGGAGGAGAGGGGCGGGGGGGGAGTTTGCGACGGTGGAAATGGGCGGGGAGGGCGGTTTTGACGGTGGGAATGGGCGGGTAGGGCGGTTTTGACGGTGGGAATGGGCGGGAGGGCGGTTTTGACGGTGGGAATGGGCGGGAGGGCGGTTTTGACGGTGGGAATGGGCGGGGAGGGCGGTTTGACGGTGGGAATACGGGCTAGGTCGAAGGCTGGGGCGACGGGCTAGGGTGTACGGGCCGCGCGTGGGCAACGGGCAGGGCGCACGGGCGCCGCGACGGGCTGGGGCAGAGCCTACGGGCGTCGCGACGGGCTGGGGCAGAGCCTACGGGCGTCGCGACGGGCTGGGGCAGAGCCTACGGGCGTCGCGACGGGCTGGGGCAGAGCCTACAGGCGTCGCGACGGGCTGGGGCAGAGCCTACGGGCGTCGCGACGGGCTGGGGCAGAGCCTACGGGCGTCGCGACGGGCTGGGGCAGAGCCTACGGGCGTCGCGACGGGCTGGGGCAGAGCCTACGGGCGTCGCGACGGGCTGGGGCAGAGCCTACGGGCGTCGCGACGGGCTGGGGCAGAGCCTACGGGCGTCGCGACGGGCTGGGGCAGAGCCTACGGGCGTCGCGACGGGCTGGGGCAGAGCCTACGGGCGTCGCGACGGGCTGGGGCAGAGCCTACGGGCGTCGCGACGGGCTGGGGCAGAGCCTACGGGCGTCGCGACGGGCTGGGGCAGAGCCTACGGGCGTCGCGACGGGCTGGGGCAGAGCCTACGGGCGTCGCGACGGGCTGGGGCAGAGCCTACGGGCGTCGCGACGGGCTGGGGCAGAGCCTACGGGCGTCGCGACGGGCTGGGGCAGAGCCTACGGGCGTCGCGCGGGCTAGGGGCAGGGCGCAGGCTAGGCGCGGAGGGTGGAGTGGCGCGGTTTAGGCGCGGAGGCACAATGGGTGCGGAGGTGCGAGCTAAGCGCGGAGGGCGCGGAGGGCGCGGAGGGCGCGAGCTAGGCGCGGAGGGCGCGGAGGGTGAACACTAGGCTAGGAACGGGCTAGGAACGGTCCTGCTCGTGATACCATCTCAAGAGTGGTTAGCAACGGAATGATGTGAAACTAGAGAAACAAGACATACAAATAGAGTTGTACCCCTTAGAGTGCTACTCACTGTAGCCTAAGAGACTATAACAACATTTGACAAGCAGCTACATCGTTACATGTCCCTGTAACACAGCAAGAAGTGCTATTCATCCTAAACTACTCTGTGTCAGAGTCACTATCAAGCGCCAAAATTCCACGCACATCTACTCCATGGTCGTCATCACTGTCACTGTCCACTTCTTTAGCCTTGCCCTTCTTCCTCCGCCTCTCCTCCTCATCCACCGGCTTGTCTTCTGCCACTGCCTTGGATGCTCCTGCAACAGCCTCTGCCTCTGTCTTGCGCTTGCAGCTCTTGGGCAGACCACTCACTTCCTTTGCTGGGCGACGTTTCTTCGCACCGCGCCACAGCTGCACGACGTCATCCCAGTTCGGCTCATAGTCTAGCAGGGAAATGCACATGAGGTCGCCGAGTCTGGCGTCGCAAAGGTTGGAGCGAATCCAGGACTTGACAATGTTTTGGCGGCTGAAACCGCGCTCACACTCGACAGTGCTGAGCGGGAGAACAGCAACAGCCACCCACAGGCGCACAAGGTTCGGGTACGAGGACTCCCAGTCCCCGCTCCGCAGCATGTTCTTCAAGCCGACATGGAAGGTCACGTCCTTATACTGCACATGCATCACGCGGATGAAGCGCGGCAGCTCCCTCTCTGCCTTCTTCCAGTTGACCCCTGACAGGCACAACACAAGTCGTTAGATTTAACGTCTACACAAACCTTGCTCTCCTTAGATAGACAACGGCAATTGCAATATCCAACACATTTACAAGTGCTTACCTGGCATATCGCATGTGTCTGCGCTGAAGAGCTTGCGCAAGCCGGCGAACCAGGCTGCACAGACGCGCTCTCGCTTGGCCACGCCATCTGGGTACGCATCGGGCAGGAATAGCTTGGCCCCATCGAGGGTCGCGAGGCTGCGAAATCTGAAAAGCAGTCGGCCAATGACATCCTGCGCAAACAGCTTCGCAAGGCTCACGCAAGATTCAAGGTCACCTCCAGAGTCTTGACCGTCCAGATGCTCCTCGTGAAGCTTGAATTTGTGTGACACGGCGTTGCCATCCCCGTCCATCCCCTCCACTTTAACGACGCGCTTAGAAGGGTGTGTGTGCTGCTCGAGAAAGGTGCTGAGGTGCTCACTGTCCTCGGCGAAGTTGACTCCGTGCTCGATGTAGCGCGCCTTCAGCTTCCCGACGGTGTTGTGAACCATTCCCATCACTCTGGTGATGTCGACCTGCATGTATAGGCAGAGAATGTCTCAGTTAGATATTGGTACATTTACATTTAAGACAGAAGCACATGTAGTGACTTACCGCTCGCTTCTGGAACCTCCTCTTGAGCTCGTTGAGCTCCTTCAGGACATCAGCAAGGAAGAACACGAAAAAATGAAACTTGAAGCTCGTCACGACGTGGTACATTGTCTGATCAAACTCGTGCAGCAAAACGATGGTGGCCGGCAGAACAGCAATGAGACGGGAGATGGCGTCTCCGCGCGACAACCATCGGACGTCTTTGATCCCTTGGGTCTCGAGGGATGTCGAGTGGAGAACGTTCTGCAGATCAAGGAACCGCTTGTGAACGTCGATGCGGCCGCCAATAATGGTGTGGATGGAGCGCACAGCAGAGTCGACGATGTCGTTTAGACAAGACAACAACTTGCCGCACAGGTATAACAAGGTAGTTTTACCTGTGAGCGATGCAGTGACAAGAAACCAGGTGCGGCACCCGCATCCGTAGCTGCACCACGAGCCCATTCTGAGAGCCGGTCATCACATTAGCACCGTCGGTACTGATGCCCGAGATCTTCCGGAGGTCCAGCCCCGTGCTATCCAGATGAGCGAGTAGAACGGTAAGAAGTGAGCCGGCGTCGCATTTTTCCACTGTCAGGTGCCCAAACAGCTCAGTCGCCACCTTGGCTTCTTTCATAAACGTTAAGTAAACGATCATATGCTTCCCCCTCCTGCGGTCGGTCGATTCGTCGAGCTGTATCCCCAGGAAGGGCGACTCAACGAGATACTGCATCTGTCGCGCCTTCAAATGCTTGACGGTCGCCTCCGTCATCTCTCGAAATCCATATCTGCGAGCCCGAAAACGATAAATTAGATTGGGAAACATTCAATAGCAGGTATAAGACTAAATGCAGTACTCACTCCGAGTGATATGTGCCAATAGCCTTGTCAGGGACATGCGGCGTCTGACAGCCCAACATGCACATGACTGCAGTTACCGCGCTCCTGCGCGGCGCCGCGTCGATCACGAGCGAAAATTTACAGTGATTACCATGACAGACGCAATTACTGTAAATGCGCCGTTAAACTCGGCACTGGCAGGAAGATTCGGTTTCAGACGAAACGGATACAATGACCTGGAAAATCAGAATATACAGGAAACAACTTCTTACACATCAGACGAAACATACATAGCTTGTCTTATCCATCAGAAATATTAAAAAAATAAGACTTCAAAAACAGAAACTGCAGCATTTACACGTCTTGTTTCTCAGAAAAACAGACAAAAATGTCTGATAGCGAGGTCCCTGATTCAGATAAATACAAAAACTTTGTCTGAAAATTCAGATGAGTTTAAACGGCATGTCTAGGCCATCAGATGAACCATAAAAAACGTGCGTCCTTCTCTGTAAGCGCGACTTTGTACTATCACTGCTAGCATGTCAATGGAAGTGGAGATTGCAGCCAGTGATGCCTCCGTGCGGCACTCACTCTCTGCTGCGTTTACGCCGACAGATACGCCGCTGGCTGACAATTTTGAATCAGGCAGTCGATGTTCGCCCCTCATGCACCCTCGTGCTGCTCTACGGCCTGCCTGCAGGTGTGTCGCTCTTCACTGTCGGCGCCGCCGCGCCTCTCCCACCCAGCAACGGCGCCGCAGTCATACCTTCCGTTGCTCAGGCGAGGCCTCTGGTGTCAAAAGGCGGGAAGGCCATCGGTAAGTGCCCCCATGCCTGCATCCGATCCGCCGCTTCTCTTCGCAACCTTGTTACTACAAGTTGTTTTTAGACGGTCTGCAAGCATCAGTACAAGCACGCATGTTTTTGCCGATAATGCATGCTGCTTTTCAAGGGGGGAGCTGCTGTGGTGCTGCGGTGTTTGTGAATATGAAAGCGGCTAGGAGTTGAAGCCGCTGTGCTTGCCTTTCAAGGGAAGTCCTCTTCCAGCCCGTTCAGCTCACCATAATCAGCCGCCTCCCTCCTTTCTCATTCCCATTTCCAGTGAAATACGTGGTTAAGCTGCGACCCACCAAGGTCAATGGGAAAGTAATTGGCGACATTGGAGCATGGGGGAAAGCAGTGGCCAAAGCGATCAGGTACTGATTCGTCCCATTCAATTACAGCTGGTGCTGCCTCTCATACACACACTAACGCCTTTAGGTCATTTCTCAGCACATTGTGACCCCAGGACATTTCATGCTCCCACTGATCCACTTCTAAAACTGATTCTTCTGTTGATTTGAGGCTGGCCTCTTGCTCACTCAATTTAAGCTCGAGAGGGAGAATATGTCTCTGCACCCATTCCCTCTGCCACATTTCCCCGTGTCCCACTGGCAGGCGCTCTGCAAGTAAGTACTACATCATCTACAAGGTGAAAGTCATGAATATCAGGTCTGGAGGAGCCGTACCCGACGTTGGTTCAGGCAGTTCCTGCGTGGGTGCCGTTGTAGGGCAGCAGACCTGGGTTAACACGACGACCAACAAATCTGGTCGGCGTAAGCGCTACAGCTTCACGACAACCACGGAATTCGGCCCAATGAGCGAGAAGGATGCTAGGGTTGGGATAAAAGACGCAATTCCAGTCAACAGTTATGTTGTTGCGGTTCACGCAAATAACAAAAACGCTCTCTGTGGGATGCGGAAGAAGAAGGGGGCTAAGTAGTTTAAAGGCCGTGGAGTGGATGCAATCTGGACTTAGATCTTGTGTTTGTATGTACCACTCGAGGTGTTGCTACTGTACCCCTATTAGAATGTATCATGTATACCGTATTTTGTTAAACGAGAAAAGAGTGGAACTTTGACAAGTTGATCACGTGCCTACAGCCTATCACAATAATAACATTTGACACATCTGACTGAAACCTACATACAACAACTTAAAAATCTACATGCATCAATTTCCTAACAAACTCCTAGACTCTTCAAACTCTGTTCCTTTACCATCACCCAGGTAATAAGCAGGGTACTCTAATCTCCAGTACCACCGGATGACCCATTCTACACCCGCACCTACAGCCATCCCCACACCGGAAAACCCTACAGCAATCAGATAGGGAGGATAATCGTACGCATCTAGAAACGTCCGGGCCAACGACTCAACATAGGTCTCCCCGGGGCGCTGTTGTGACTTGGCCCATACCACAAGAGCGAGAAGGCCAGAGGCACAGCCAGCTGCTGATGATGCAGGGGTGATGCAAACGCGGGAGAGGGGGCCTTGCAGCACGCCGAGGAGCAGAGGCAGGAAGGAGGTGGTGTTGACGAGGTTCACGAGGAGGAAGAGCTGCAGCACATTGAAGCCTTGTAGCGAGACAAGCAGCGGCGGTATATTGAGGATGAGAACGAGGGCTCGGATAGAGGAGATGCTGAGGGCAGTCCCGTGGTGGGGAGGGTCAGGTGCGGTTGAAACAGGGTCAGGATCAAAGTCAGTAGCAGAGGGAGCAGGTGGAGGGTGCATAGTGGTAGGTGCAGTAAGGCAAGGACAGGCAGCGGGGAGGGAGGAAGGAAGCAGCGGGGTGCAGTGAAGATGGGTAGAGGGGTGGATGCATGGGGATGCTTCTCTCGCTGCGCCTTCTGCCTCGCAACACTTGGTGCACTTCACCTGTGTCACCCTTGCCTCCTCGTGCCGTTGCACGCTGCCCTGCCCGCCCTCCTTCCCTTGCACGCGCTGGTTGCTGCTGGCAGAGCAGGAGGGGTGGGCGAGCAGGAGGGCGGCGACGGCGTCGACGGTGGCGTTCTGCAGCGAGTCGACGGCGGACTCGCTCATGGTGACGGCCAGCAGCGCCACCGCCACCAGCGCCCACGGCTGCCCGCGGAACAGCGAGAAGAGAATGGTGTTGCCGCTGTCGTGGGGGCCTTCCGGCTCGTACACGCCGCTCCACGCCGCTAGCAGGCCTGTGGATGGGGCAATGAAGGCCGCAAGAGGCCCGCATGAGGTGCCACGACAGCCTGGGACCAATTGTGGCAGCGCAAGGACTGAATACGGAGAGAGCAGTGTGTGGGCGTGAAGAGCATGGGCATGTGAAATCACATAGGCAGCACGAGCATGTGGCAGCAGGGTGGCAGCAGGGTGGCAGCAGGGTGGCAGCAGGGTGGCGGCAGGGTGGCAGCAGGGTGGCGGCAGGGTGGCAGCAGGGTGGCAGCAGGGTGGCAGCAGGGTGGCGGCAGGGCGGCAACAGGGTGGCAGCAGAGTGGCAGCAGCATGGCGGCAGCAGTGCTCTCACCAGCGAAGCCCAGCAGCCCCACAACGACGGTGATGGCACCTGCTCCCAGCGCTGCCCCCCACAGAAGCGCCGCCGGGCTCGCTGACGCCCAGCAGCTGGCGGGGAGGGCGGGGAGAGAGATGTGCGAGAGGAGAGGGGGAGGGGGGGTTCAGAGAGATGCACAAAGTGGCAGCTCGGTATTCCCGCATTCCCTCTTCATGATTCTCCACGTTTGCCTTCCACTGTTACTAGTACTGCACGCACTGCAAGCATGCCTCTCACCGCTGCCACATGCCTCGCACCGCTGCTCACCGCTGCCAAAAGGCTTCGTTGAAGAGCGTGGTGGCGAGCAGCGAGAGCGGCATGAAGAGCACCGCCTCCACCCCCCGCGGGTTCGACCACCCCAGGGTAGGGGGCAGCGGCGGGAGGGGCGAGGGGAAGTTGAGAAGCACGTGTGCCGTGAGCAGCGCCGTGAAGAGGAGACTCGCGAGGGCCTGCTGGGGGGAGGGATGGATAAATGGATTGAGGAGACAAAAAGGGAATGCGGCAAAGAGGAGTGGACAGAGAGGGGACGCAGCGGTAATGAAGAGGGAGAGTGGTACGGGCAGAAGGAGCGAGGGCATGAGGGATGGAACGAACAAGCAGCAGAGCAGTGGCGAGGCGAGGCGACGTGGCTGGCACTAGTCGGTGACGATGGAGAGTGCGATGGTAGGGGCAGAAGGAGGGAGGACACGAGGGATGGAACGCGCAAGCAGAGGTGGAAGCCAGGAGCGGCGGAGCAGCGAGAGGGCGACCTGCCATTGGTCGGTGACGATGGAGACGTAGAGCCCGCCTGCAGCGGTGTAGAGCATGGCGGTGAGGGCGACGAGCATGACGATGGGCAGGCGGGGTGCGTGCAGCAGGCGGTGGAAGAGGTCGCCCAGTGCCGTGTACTCCGCTGCCATCGCCACCCCCATGTTGCCCACCGCTAACAGTGATATGTACACCGCGAATGGGCTGCAGGTGGGGGGGAGGGGGAGGGGAAATACGGAAGAAGGAAGGGCAAAGGGGAGGGGTGACGGCAGTGAGTTGTCATGGCCATGGCTTGGAGTGGAGGGAGGGTGACGTGTGGAGAGAGATGCCGTTGGGTGGGGAGGGATGGGGAACGGAGGGGGGAGGGTGGAGGCGAGAGACCCATCCGTGAATGCAGTGCACATGCCATGGCGACCCACACTCACGGCCGTGCGGCAAGCCACGGGGCAGAACGAAGGGTGCAGCAGTAGCAAGCGGTGGGCTTGAAGGTTGGGGCGAACTGGAGCGATGGCGGGCAGAAGAAGCTCGCGTGAGGATTGGGTTGGACGGTGGAGCAAAGGCAGGGAATGGCACTTGCATTGCAGGGCGCACGGAGGCAGTGAGGGGCGCACGGAGGCAGTGAGGGGCGGACGGAGGCAGTGAGGGGCGGACGGAGGCAGTGAGGGGCGGACGGAGGCAGTGAGGGGCGGACGGAGGCAGTGAGGGGCGGACATCAGCTCGGGGAGAGAAGTGGCGTACGTCCCTCGACCCCTTCTGCCCCTTCTCGCCCACTCCCTCTCACACAGCCCACAGCGTGGCCGCCCATGCCTCGCCATGGTGGTCCCGTCATCGCCCACACCACCTTCGTCTTCCCACGCCCTCAAAACCCTTCCCCAGCCCCCGCTCCCCCCTCCCCGCCGCCTTGCAGCACTCACAGGCCGAAGCGGCGGCGCACGTAGTCGGCCATGGAGACGACGTTGGGCACGAGGCGGTGCACCGCCGCGCCCACGCACGCCACGAGCAGCACGGGCAGCCCCGCGCACAGCGCGTACACGAGCGTGCCCGTGGCGCCCGCCGTCAGGCAGTAGCTGGGCGGCCCGAACAGCGCCCACGACCCCATCGCCGACGCGAAGAACGACCTGCGCGCGGTGGAGAGCGGTGGTGAGGGTTGTGGATTGAAATGGATGGCAGGTGGGAGGAGCAAGAGCGTGCGGAACTCAAGGGCGGGGCGGAGAGGAAGGGCAACCGACGGACGCGACGGGGCGATGCAGCACGGAGGGGGCGGAGGGGGGGACGGGGGGGGAGAGGGGGTGGTGGATGATGGGTGGTGCGATGCAGCGCAGGTGACGGTCGCGCGGGAGAGCGTGAAAAAAGGCCACGGCGATGAGCACGCGGGAGGCGACGGGCGAGGCGACGACGGGCTTGACAGAGTGGGGTGGCACCAGTTACCGGTGAACGCGCGACCAGACGATTGTGATGTGCGACTCGTGCGACGCACCATGCGACCATGGACGTCTTAACGGATCGGCGCGCAGTGAGGAAGAAATCAGGCGAGTCGGGCCCTCCCTGCAGCTTCTCCCGATGCGCCGCATACGCGCACGCGCCCAGGCCGAACGCTAAGACCACCGCCACGGCAAGCGTGTACGCGATAAAAGAGAACGCCTCCATGGTTTGTAACGAAGGTCCCTTAGACGAATCTAGTCTTGCTTATACATCCCATGAGGTCCCGATTGTGTAAGAACGCACGTCATGGACATGGAACTAGTGCGCGACGGCTGGTGGCGATCCGACATTCTTAGGACTTGCCTGGTACATATAGCCTGAAAACCGATGTTCAATTTCGAGCTTTCACTGCTCGAGTTGTAAAGGATGAGTGCGTCAATAACGAAGATGCGATTGCAACGCATGAAATTGGGAGCCAGGATCTTTGGTCCGAGCCTGATTGGTGTTGTACCCGATATATCGTATGCATGTCGCTTCCATACAGCGAGGGCTCACAAATAACCAATTTTCCAGATTGGAAATGCGGAAAAAGATTACAGTAACCACAACATCAAATGGTCCTCTCGCTGTACATTGAGTAGGTGCTATTATTATGGATTAAGTTTGATACAATGTCGTGGTAATTAAGATAAGGGGTATTAGAGGAAGGTAGAAATGGTGGAACAAAGAAAGGGTGATAAGGAGAGAAGAGCTGGAGAAGAAGAGAAGTGCCGAAGGAAAGGTGGAACGAGGAAAAGAAGAGAGGAAGAAACTAAAGGAAGGAAACACCTAAGGACCAAAACACCACAGCAACCCGCACCTACATTGAGTAGGTGGGAGGGAGAGGCATCGGTTCCCAAAGCTGACCAGAATCTGAAATAGGAATCTGTAACACATCAGTGCTGTACATGTTTTCCAACAGAGCGGCCCATACCCAATATATAGTGGTTAGAATCTGCAGGTCGGGGTTTATATCCCGAGGACTGCAAACACACGTCTGGAATGACAAAGAGCATGCTATTGTACAGACGAACAAATGCTAGTAGGGTCCTTCATATGGTGTGAGACCATCGTCATCAAAGGCGCCGTACAGCCTGCATGATGCACAATCCAACATGGTGTCACAACAGGAATGGAGGGTGGGGGGGGGGGGGGGGGGGGGGAGATTTGAGGTGTGAGAACACATGAGTTCAAAGCATCGGGGCCGCAAGCATGAGACCACATCATGTGCATGAAGCTTACCCGATATTCAGATCTGTTTGGGGCAGCCCCCTGTGCTGCTGTGGGGCACTTCCAGCGGCGAGAAACGCGTTGTTGACTGCAAGGGGTTCAGCGGCCACTGTGTGGCCTGCACGGGCTGCACGGGCTGCGTGGGCTGCGTGGGCTGCACCGGCGGTGGATGCAGACGGCAGTGAGAAGCTCCCGAGCTGCATCGCCCCGCCTTGTTTCACTCCACCATCATGTGTCGCACCATACCTCATATCCTTCTCCTGCTGCCACAATGGCTGTTGTGGCTGCAAGCGCGGGCCTTGAATCCCACCGAACGGCTCACTACCCCTTCCCTTGGCTCCCTTCCCCTGCTCAGCTGCCCGAGGTCCACAAGCGACCTCCTCTCTCACCTCCCCCGCTTGCAACATCACCTCTTGCTGCTTCTCTTGTAAACCTGTTAACCAATCCCGTTGCTTCCAAGGCTTCAGCACGCTGTTTTGCTGCTGCTGCTGCTGAGTCTGTTGTTGCATCTGCTGCTGCCCGTGGGGCTGCTGCTGCTGCAGCTGCTGCTGCACGTGTTGCAGCAGGAGCAGCCGCTGTTGGAGCTGCCAAGAGCCACACTCCTCCGTCCTCTCCGCCCTCTCTCCAGCCCCAGCACCAGCAGGGACAGGTTCGGGTGGCGTGGCATGCGGCATGCCGGCAGCACCAGGCCCGGGTGCACCACTTGTGCTGCCTGCCTGCACGGCCTGCTGTGCAGCAGCATCACGGCCAGGGCCATGTGAGCCCGTGCGCAGCTGAGTAGGTGCACTGCCTGTCAACCCCAACTGCACACGCTCGCCACTGCCCGCTCCATGTGCTCCACGCTTGTCGCGCTGCTGCTCTGCCTGCTGCTCTGCCTGCTGCTGAGGAGGAGGCTGATGCTGCCCATTCCCCTCCCCCTGCTGACCCCCCTCCACATCCATCCAGAACCTTCTCAGCAGCTTCGTTTTCTCCTGCGCCAGCTGCTCATCTGGGCCGCGCTTCCCTCGCAGCAAGGCCTCAACGATCGACAGCCTATTGGCTGGAACCCCATCACTCGGAGCTCTGCCTCTGGACGCCTCCACTGGCAAGACCTCAAAGGCACCCTCCCTAGCGGCTCTGTCCCCTTCTGCTGCAGGCGTTGCGATATCAGCGCCACCACCAGCTGCTGCTGCACCCCCTGCCGCATCGCCTCTCAATGCCCCCTCTGGCTCACCTCGACCCATCCACACCCGAGCCGCTGTGTTGGGCAGTGCATGTGCGGGAGGGGGAAGAGGCAGTGCAGCAGCTTCCGTCCCGTGCGCTTCTTCCGTTTCCATCGCCTCCTGCTTCACCATCGCCCTCGCTGCCTCCGCCAGCGCTGCCACTCCACTGGCAGCCGCAGCAGCAGCAGCAGCAGCGCCTTCACTGGTAGCATAAACGGCAGATAATGGTGCAGAGCGGCGAGGTGATGCGGGGTGAGCCTCGCGTGAGTGCGCGGTGCCACGCCCCACCGGCACACCTGGTGGGCGGCCACCCGCATGTGCATGCAAGATGCCGCGCGAGGTGCCGTGCACACGGCTGTGCGGGTGAGACGGGTGGCTCCAGGGACGGGCTGACACGGCATGGGTGTGGGTGTGGGAAGAGGAAGCGGGCAATGGGAAGGCGTGGTGAATGGCGTCATTGTCGTCATCATCGTCATCGGAGTCACTCTCCTGCAACCCATCCACGCCGCCTTCCATCCCCATGGCTGTCGATGCCACAGCTGCCCCACCAACACCGGCATCATCATCTCCACCAGCAGCAGCATCCACATCAGCACCAAAACCAGCGCCAGCATCGCTGCAGTCATCATCATCCCTATCCTCCTCACCCCCCCCGATACCCCCCTCGCCACCATCCTCCCCATACCCCTCCGCGTCCCCATCCCCATTGCCCTGCACATTCGCCTCCTCGCGGTGTCCCTCCATGTCTGCCCCCGGGCACTCCCTTCCATCCGCCACCCTCTCTCTGCCCCCACTCTCGCCCTCATCCGCTGCTTTCACCGCCTCCCCACCTCCTGCTCCCACCATTCCCTCACCACCAGCATCCGCCCCTGCGCGTGCCTCGGCCTTGCTCTTATCCTCCAGCTGCAAAAGGTGTGGCGCAAGGCGTGGGACAAACAGGGCGTGGGACAAGGGACAGGGCGTGGGACAAGGGACAGGGCGTGGGACAAGGGACAGGGCGTGGGACAAGGGACAGGGCGTGGGACAAGGGACAGGGCGTGGGACAAGGGACAGGGCGTGGGACAAGGGACAGGGCGTGTGATTGGGATAGGCAGAAGCGTAGAAGACTGTAAAGCTCCCATGGATGGAATCGTAAGAGGGATGCCGAGACAAGAGGCATGCATGCAGCAAGATAGAGAGGCAGGCACGCAATCGGGAATGAGGCAGCAGGCAGGGCAACGTACGCGCGATTTGAGGTGGGAGATGGTTCGGTTGAACAGCTCCTCCTGCCACACGGGCGAGGTCACACAGGGGAGCGCAGTGGCAGTGGGGCGGGGGGGGAGGGTGGCGGGATTGGGGACATGAGGTGTGGAATGAGCATGAGCAGTGGTATGGCATCTGAGCGGCGGCGTCACTATACCCATCGCATCGCATCGCCTAATCGTCCATGCCACAGCAGTGGGAGTTGGAATGGAATGACCGGAATGACAGCCCAGGAGCAGCGGAAGCAGCCTCTGTGCTGCGGCCGCTGGGCCCACTTGCTCACCTCTTCCCTACCATTGCTTTCTCTCCCACCCTCCCATTCCCACCTTTTTTTCTCTCAATCGAGATAGGCTGGCTTCTAGCTGCTTCTCCACCCGCCTCATCTCATCCAATCCCAGGCCTTCAAACGACTCTCCTGTTGCGTCGAGGCAAGCAAGCGCCGTCAACGGCTGGTCTTGCAGCCTGGACACCATAAGTTGCAGGGTAATGGGTGGAGGCCAGGGGAGGGGGGAAGGGGGAGAGAGGGGGGGAACGAGGATGGGGGAGGAGGAAGGAGATGAACGTGAGTGTGATTGCCTTGGGGGACGATAGGGCGGGAATAGGAACTCTGGAGTGCATGCGATGATCTTTGAAGCGCAATACGGGCAAGGCATGGGAGCAGATGCAGGGTGCCCTCAGACAAGCTCTCAGGATCCGTACTCCGCCACCCCACTACGGGTTGATCCGACCCCACCCAGGTTCGGTTACGCCCGTCGATCCGTGCACATCGTGCCATCCAGCACAATTTCCAACCACAAATTTCCTGCCCATTTCCCTCCGCTTACCACTTTTCACCGCAATCAATCCACAAAACCAAATCTCAAGATGGTCCCACCATTCTATAGATCTCGTCATTTCAGAAAGTCGATATAGACCCAACCCTAGAGGCGTGCCAGCCTTCAGCCCATAACAACCCCCCCCCCCCCCCCCCCCCCCCTCCCCCCATGCGTTATCAAGAGGAATTAAGCACACCTTGAAACCTCCAAGTCGCGCGGTTGATCCTGTTGCTCTGCTGCCTCCTGGAGTGCACGAGAGTGCAGGGAATGCGACGGGAGGGGAGGGGAATGAATGAGGACGGAAGGAATGGAGGTGGGCAGGAGGGAAGGGGAAGGGGTAGAGAGGGGAAGGGAGGAGGGACGCAGGGAGGGTGACAGGAAGGGGCACGAATGGAAGAGTGAAGCGGAGGTGAAGGAAAAGTAACAAGGATGGGCGCGAAGAAAAGGGAGGAGAAAGGAGAAAAAAGAAAGGGGATGGGTTTAGACGTTTGGGAGGCCAAGAAAGAAAAGAAAGAAGAAGGGAGGAGAGCTGGACGCAAGGCGAAGGGATGGGAAGGGAAGCAAACGTAAACGTTTTAAGAATTAGAATTGTAAGAGGACAGACACATGGAGTGCAGAGAGGGTTGACCTGAGAGAACACCAGCACATGCGGAGAAATCATAGACATGTGGAAGGAGAGGGACGGGCAGGCAGGCAGGCAATGGATTGCGGGGAGGGAACGGAGGGAGCGGAGGGGGTGGAGGAAGGCAGGGAGTGAGGGCAGGGAAGGGCTGGGAAGGGCAGGGAAGGGCAGGGAAGGGCAGGGAAGGGCAGGGAAGGGCAGGGAAGGGCAGGAAGGGCAGGGAAGGGCAGGGAAGGGCAGGGAAGGGCAGGGAAGGGCAGGGAAGGGCAGGGAAGGGCAGGGAAGGGCAGGGAAGGGCAGGGAGGCAGGAGGGCAGGGAAGGGCAGGGAAGGGCAGGGAAGGGCAGGGAAGGGCAGGGAAGGGCAGGGAAGGGCAGGGAAGGGCAGGGAAGGGCAGGGAAGGGCAGGGAGGCAGAAGGGCAGGGAAGGGCAGGGAAGGGCAGGGAAGGGCAGGGAAGGGCAGGGAAGGGCAGGGAAGGGCAGGGAAGGGCAGGGAAGGGCAGGGAAGGGCAGGGAAGGGCAGGGAAGGGCAGGGAAGGGCAGGGAAGGGCAGGGAAGGGCAGGGAAGGGCAGGGAAGGGCAGGGAAGGGCAGGGAAGGGCAGGGAAGGGCAGGGAAGGGCAGGGAAGGGCAGGGAAGGGCAGGGAAGGGCAGGGAAGGGCAGGGAAGGGCAGGGAAGGGCAGGGAAGGGCAGGGAAGGGCAGGGAAGGGCAGGGAAGGGCAGGAAGGGCAGGGAAGGGCAGGGAAGGGCAGGGAAGGCAGGGAAGGGCAGGGAAGGGCAGGGAAGGGCAGGGAAGGGCAGGGAAGGGCAGGAAGGGCAGGGAAGGGCAGGGAAGGGCAAGGGAAGGGCAGGGAAGGGCAGGGAAGGGCAGGGAAGGGCAGGGAAGGGCAGGGAAGGGCAGGGAAGGGCAGGGAGGGCAAGGGAAGGGCAGGGAAGGGCAGGGAAGGGCAGGGAAGGGCAGGGAAGGGCAGGGAAGGGCAGGGAAGGGCAGGGAAGGGCAGGGAAGGGCAGGGAAGGGCAGGGAAGGGCAGGGAAGGGCAGGGAAGGGCAGGGAAGGGCAGGGAAGGGCAGGGAAGGGCAGGGAAGGGCAGGGAAGGGCAGGGAAGGGCAGGGAAGGGCAGGGAAGGGCAGGGAAGGGCAGGGAAGGGCAGGGAAGGGCAGGGAAGGGCAGGGAAGGGCAGGGAAGGGCAGGGAAGGGCAGGGAAGGGCAGGGAAGGGCAGGGAAGGGCAGGGAAGGGCAGGGAGGGCAGGGGAAGGGCAGGGAAGGGCAGGGAAGGGCAGGGAAGGGCAGGGAAGGGCAGGGAAGGGCAGGGAAGGGCAGGGAAGGGCAGGGAAGGGCAGGGAAGGGCAGGGAAGGGCAGGGAAGGGCAGGGAAGGGCAGGGAAGGGCAGGGAAGGGCAGGGAAGGGCAGGGAAGGGGCAGGGAAGGGCAGGGAAGGGCAGGGAAGGGCAGGGAAGGGCAGGGAAGGGGCAGGGAAGGGCAGGGAAGGGCAGGGAAGGGCAGGGAAGGGCAGGGAAGGGCAGGGAAGGGCAGGGAAGGGCAGGGAAGGGCAGGGAAGGGCAGGAAGGGCAGGGAAGGGCAGGGAAGGGCAGGGAAGGGCAGGGAAGGGCAGGGAAGGGCAGGGAAGGGCAGGGAAGGGCAGGGAAGGGCAGGGAAGGGCAGGGAAGGGCAGGGAAGGGCAGGGAAGGGCAGGGAAGGGCAGGGAAGGGCAGGGAAGGGCAGGGAAGGGCAGGGAAGGGCAGGGAAGGGCAGGGAAGGGCAGGGAAGGGGCAGGGGAAGGGCAGGGAAGGGCAGGGAAGGGCAGGGAAGGGCAGGGAAGGGCAGGGAAGGGCAGGGAAGGGCAGGGAAGGGCAGGGAAGGGCAGGAGGCAGGAAGGGCAGGGAAGGGCAGGGAAGGGCAGGGAAGGGCAGGGAAGGGCAGGGAAGGGCAGGGAAGGGCAGGGAAGGGCAGGGAAGGGCAGGGAAGGGCAGGGAAGGGCAGGGAAGGGCAGGGAAGGGCAGGGAAGGGCAGGGAAGGGCAGGGAAGGGCAGGGAAGGGCAGGGAAGGGCAGGGAAGGGCAGGGAAGGGCAGGGAAGGGCAGGGAAAGGGCAGGGAAGGGCAGGGAAGGGCAGGGGAAGGGCAGGGAAGGGCAGGGAAGGGAGGAAGGGCAGGTAAGGGCAGGGAAGGGCAGGGGAAGGGCAGGTAAGGGCAGGAAGGGCAGGGAAGGGCAGGGAAGGGCAGGGACGGGCAGGGAAGGGCAGGGAAGGGCAGGGAAGGGCAGGGAAGGGCAGGAAGGGCAGGGAAGGGCAGGGAAGGGCCAGGGAAGGGGGCAGGGCAAGGGCAGGGAAGGCAGGGAAGGGCAGGGAAGGGCAGGGAAGGCAGGGAAGGGCAGGGAAGGGCAGGGAAGGGCAGGGAGCTACAGGGCAGGGAAGGGCAGGGAAGGGCAGGGAAGGGCAGGGACGGGCAGGGAAGGCAGGGAAGCAGGGAAGGGCAGGGAAGGGCAGGGAAGGGCAGGGAAGGGCAGGGAAGGGCAGGGAAGGGCAGGGAAGGGCAGGGAAGGGCAGGAAGGGCAGGGAAGGGCAGGAAGGGCAGGGAAGGGCAGGGAAGGGCAGGGAAGGGCAGGGCAGGGCAGGGAAGGGCAGGGAAGGGCAGGGAAGGGCAGGAAGGGCAGGGAAGGGCAGGGAAGGGCAGGGAAGGGCAGGGAAGGGCAGGGAAGGGCAGGAAGGGCAGGGAAAGGCAGGGAAGGGCAGGGAAGGGCAGGGAAGGGCAGGGAAGGGCAGGAAGGGCAGGGAAGGGCAGGGAAGGGCAGGGAAGGGCAGGGAGGGCAGGGAAGGGCAGGGAAGGGCAGGGAAGGGCAGGGAAGGGCAGGGAGGGCAGGGAAGGGCAGGGAAGGGCAGGGAAGGGCAGGGAAGGGCAGGGAAGGGCAGGGAAGGGCAGGGAAGGGCAGGGAAGGGCAGGGAAGGGCAGGGAAGGGCAGGGAAGGGCAGGGAAGGGCAGGGAAGGGCAGGGAAGGGCAGGGAAGGGCAGGGAAGGGCAGGGAAAGGGCAGGGAAGGGCAGGAAGGGCAGGAAGGGCAGGGAAGGGCAGGGAAGGGCAGGGAAGGGCAGGGAAGGGCAGGGAAGGGCAGGGAAGGGCAGGGAAGGGCAGGGAAGGGCAGGGAAGGCAGGGAAGGGGGGCAGGGAAGGGCAGGGAAGGGCAGGGAAGGGCAGGGAAGGGCAGGGAAGGGCAGGGAAGGGCAGGGAAGGGCGACATACGAGCATTCCCTGTGGCGTGGCCATGGCCTTGCCTTTCAACTGCTGCAGCTGGAGCCTCTTCGCTTGCTGCTCGCCCGGCCGCTCCTTGCTGTGCTGCAGCGGCGTGGCAAGGCCGGCGCTCTGGGGGGGGTTCTGCTGCTGCCACGGCGGGCGGTGGTCCTTGCCGCTCTCCACCGCCAGCCGCCGGTACCGCTCCACTATGGCGTCCATGCTGGGGGGGAGGGGGGGAGGGGGAGGGGGGAGGGGGGGGGAAGGGAGGTGGTAGGAGGAGGAAGAGATAGGGGGAAAGGCTGGCGGGGAGGCCAATGGGCGGGGAGGTTCGTGCGAAGCAGGGTGACGCGTGGGTGCACTCTGACGTGACGCCCATGCTGACGGCACATGTGCTGACGTGATACTGACTCGGCGCTGACGTGGTACTGACTTTGTGCTGACGCCATACTGACTGGGCGCTGACGTGTCACTGACTTGGTGCTGGCGTATTGGAAGAGCTTGCCGGTGGCGGAGAAGATGATGACGCCGATCTCCACGTCGCACAGCACCGCCAGCTCGTACGCCTGCCGGGGGATGAAAGCGCGGGGGGAGTGGAGGGGAGGGGGGAATAGGGGGTGCACGGGGGTGGGCACAGGGGGGTGGGCACAGGGGGATGGGCGCAAGGGATGCGTGCAGGGGATGGACGCACGGGGCGGGCGCAGAGGATGGGCAAGGGGTGGGCGCACGGGTGGGCGCGGGATGCGCGCACGGGGTGGGCGCATGGGGTGGGAGCAGGGGGTGGGGCGCAGGGGTCGGCGCACGGGGTTGGGCGCACAGGGGTGGGCGCACAGGGGTGGGCGCACAGGGGTGGGCGCACAGGGATGGGCGCACAGGGGTGGGCGCACGGGGTGGGCGCACGGGGTGGGCGCGGGATGCGCGCACGGGGTGGGCGCATGGGGTGGGAGCAGGGGGTGGGGCGCAAGGGGTCGGCGCACGGGGTTGGGCGCACAGGGGTGGGCGCACAGGGGTGGGCGCACAGGGGTGGGCGCACAGGGATGGGCGCACAGGGGTGGGCGCACGGGGTGGGCGCACGGGGTGGGCGCGGGATGCGCGCACGGGGGTGGGCGCATGGGGTGGGAGGCAGGGGTGGGGCGCAAGGGGTCGGCGCACGGGGTTGGGCGCACAGGGGTGGGCGCACAGGGGTGGGCGCACAGGGGTGGGCGCACAGGGATGGGCGTACAGGGGTGGGCGCACGGGGTGGGCGCACGGGGTGGGCGCGGGATGCGCGCACGGGGTGGGCGCATGGGGTGGGAGCAGGGGGTGGGGCGCACGGGGTCGGCGCACGGGTTGGGCGCACAGGGGTGGGCGCACAGGGGTGGGCGCACAAGGATGGGCGCACAGGGGTGGGCGCACGGGGTGGGCGCACGGGGTGGGCGCACGGGATGGGCGCACGGGATGGGCGCAGGGGGTGGGCGCAGGGGGTGGGGCGCACGGGGTTGGGCGCACAGGGGTGGGCGCACAGGGATGGGCGCACAGGGATGGGCGCACAGGGGTGGGCGCACGGGGTGGGCGCACGGGGTGCGCAGGGGATGGGCGCACGGGATGGGCGCACGGGGGTGGGCGCAGGTGGTGGGGCCACGGGGTCGGCGCACGGGGTTGGGCGCACAGGGGTGGGCGCACAGGGGTGGGCGCACAGGGGTGGGAGCAAGGGGTGGGCGCAAGGGGTGGCGCAGGGGACTGGGCGCATGGGCGCATGGGATGGCGCAAGTGATGGGATGGGCGCAGATAGGTGCAGGGGTTGGACGCATGGGATGCGCGCATGAGATAGCCGCTAGGGATGGGCACCCGGGACAGGCGCAGCGCAGCAGGGATGGGTGCACGGAGATGGGCGCCGCGCAGGGGAAGGGAGCAGCGCGCAGGAAGTGCACATTTGGGTGCGGGAGACCCAACCTTTCCCCCATTTCCCCTCCTCGTCCTCTTCCGCCCCCTTCTCTCCGGCACCCACCACGCCCATCCGCCCACCGCACCTTCTTCAGCACCCCCCCGCGCACCTTCTTCAGCAGCCCATTGCGCCGCTTCGAGAAGGTCACTTGCCGCGTAGTCGCGTTGTCAATCTTCCGAATCTCGATCTTCCCGCGCCCCATTCTGCACGCCTCCTTGAAATTGTCCCTCCAGAATACAGTCACTCCGCTGCCCTTCTTAGATTTCGCTTCCTACCGCATCCTGCGAAAGACGAGTCTGTGCGATTGCGACGCTCGGCTGATGCCTGCGACCCTGGGACGATTCTTCAGGTGCTGCTTGGCGGATTGCGACCCTCGGATTGTTCCTGCGACGTTTTTCAGATTTCGGCGACGCTCTGTGGCACGCGGCTGCTTCGTTCTGCGATGGTTGGCGATACCTGCGGCGCTAGGCGGGTCTTCTAAGCATGGCGAAGATAAATCAAGCTTGCACCCCTATTCTACCCTCGCGGCCCTTTTAGGGTTTCGCTGCCACCCAGTGCCCGCTAGGTCTGCTGTAAGAGTAGTCACTGTACAAATCGGCTACTTAGTGCTCTTGAATCTAAATGCCGTCGCCTTCTAGCGGCGTGGAGTGGCGAGAAAATACATCCAGGTCTGATCAGATTCCACAATTGGTTCTGCAAATTGTCGCGTCGAGA